GCCAAGCTCTCCCTGGGCCAGGCCCGCGCTCCGCCCGGGACCCCGTGAGGCCGGAGCCCGGGACACACCCACCTCCACTCCCGCCCTGTGGCCGGAGACCTGCGTCTCCCTAGTTCCTGACCGCATTAGCCTTGGGTCTGGTGGTCCCGGCCCGACCTTCCTTTCCACGGGCCGTCTCTGCCTTCCCTTCATGTCTGTCCCTGGCTGTCCCTCTCCCCTCCCGGGGTGCCCTGCTGGCTGACCTTCCTTTCCTCCTCCCACAGCAAGACCTGCAGGCGAAGCTGCAGCTGCGCTACCAGGAGATCGCCAAGCGGTGAGCAGGCCCCGCTCGCTGCTCAAGCCCCCGCCCTGTTCTGTCCTTCTTCCACCAAAAACAAAACCGTGTTCCTTTAGACCAGCGGTTCTCAACCTGTGGGTCGCGACCCCTTTGGGGGTCGAACGACCCTTTCACAGGGGTCGCCTAAGACCATCGGAAAACACATATATAATTATATATTGTTTTTGTGATTAAATCACTATGCTTTAATTATGTTCCATTTGTTACAATGAAAATACATCCTGCATATCAGATATTTACATTACGATTCATAACAGTAGCAAAATTACAGTTATGAAGTAGCAACGAAAATAATGTTATGGTTGGGGGTCACCACAACATGAGGAACTGTATTAAAGGGTCGCAGCATTAGGAAGGTTGAGAACCACTGCTTTAGACCCTGAAGCCCTGGCCAAAATCCTGCCTCTAGCTTCCTGGCAGGTTGTGAAGACAGGTTTGCCTTTAAACTTGCTCTTGGAAACAGCCGATTGGCCGTGAATTCTGGTTGGGGATCGTTGTGATTTGCAGTCCTCAGTGTGGCCTTGCCCGCTGGTGGTATCATTCCCAAGCAATAGATGGGGGGAAAAACAAACAAAACTGAGGCGTGGAGAGACAATCATTTGCTTAAAGCCATTCAGAAGCTAGGAAGTGACACCTGGGACTTGAACCCAGACTTGTCTTGATTTCAACTCATTGATGTCCAAAAAGTGCTTGATATTTACAAGCCCTTGCCGTGTCCTCAGCCTTGGGGAGACCAGTGCAAACAAGGAAAGTTCTGGTCCTCATTCCTTCATATCCTAGGAAGAGAAAAACGTAGAGAAAAAACACAGCAGGCAAAAAAAAAACCAACACATTATTCTGGAATGCTCCAAAGATAAATGAGAGTAATCTGGAGGGTTACTACTTTGGGTCATGTGGGTCAGGAAAAGTTTCAGGGATTGACATTTGATTCACCTAAATCCGTGGTTCTCAACCTTGGCTGCACATTAGAATCACCTGGGAATATTTTTAAAATCCTGATTTCTGGGCCCCATCCTCCGGAAATTCTGTTTCTTTGTTACTAATGTTGTGGCCCCACCCCATAACAAAGAAACAAATTCCAGAGGATGAGGCCCAGAAATCAGGATTTTAAAAAGATTCCCAGGTGATTCTAATGTGCAGCCAAGGTTGAGAACCACTGACCTAAATGATGAGAAAGAGCCAAAGGATAATTATTGAAGAAACCTGGGCAGAGAGAACAGTAAGCACGAAGGCTGTAAGGCCCAACAGAGCCAGAAGCAGGAAGGAGGCCAGTGTGACAGACACAGGTAGGAAAGGGGATAGCGGTATAAAATTAAGCCAGTGGCAGGCAAAGGTAAGGCAGTCTTGGAGGGTTGGCAGTGAAGGAAGAAAAAATAGCATTAAAGTAACCAAATTTATGTGAATGCCTAAATGGTGTGATTAATTCCTAATATCAAAAGTTTAAATTGCTTTTCCATCCAGGGTTTGGGCTAGTTGAGGAAACTTGTAAAATTTTCAGTGTCTTTAGGGTAATGGTGCCCCCTAGTGATTCATTTGGGATTTTCCTTTCAGCACTGTTTTTTTTTTTTGGTTGTTTTTTTATTTCAGAGAGGAAAGGAGAGGAAGAGAGAGAAAGAAACATCGATGAGCCCGGCTGGCTGAGCCCGGCTGGCGTGGCTCAGTATGAACCGGGAAGTCACCGTTCGATTTCCAGTCAGGGCACATGCCCGGGTTGTGGGCTCAATCCCCAGTGAGGGGAATGCAGGAGGCAGCTGATCAGTGATTCTCTCTCATCATTGATGTTTCCATTGTTCTCTCCTCCCTTGCTCTCTGAAATCAATTTAAAAAAAATAAAGAGGAAGAAAGAAACATCAATGGAGAGAATCATTGGTCAGAATCGAATCCAGGACCTTTCAGTCTGTAGGCCGACTCTCTATCCACTGAGCCAAACCAGCTAGGGCCAGCACTGGTTATATCTTTTCTGTGTTAGGTTGCAGAAAACTATGGCCATTCCTACAGAGATCATCTCTACTCCAGGGCCTAAGCAAATTCTAACTGCCACACAGGACATTATTTTGAATGTTAAATTTTTAAAATTTATTTATCTGTATTTATTTTTTTAAAAAAAAATACACAATGACTATCACTTGTATTAAGAAAAAATTTAAATCCTGGCAAAATGATTACCAGACAAAAAGTTTGTTTAAAAACATGGTTGAATGAAAGCCCAGTTTTAAAAGATTTTTCCTATCATTTTGCCCTCCCTCTCTGCTGTATTTTCTAGGGAAGCTCCTCTTGAGGTTAGGGTTTCCTTTTCAGGCTTCCAGCTTCTTTGTAAATTCACCTCAGGCCCAGAACAGAGCTCTGTTCACCCCCCTTTCTGGCAGCAGCCACCATGAGGTGACAGGAAATGCAGAGGCCTGGGAGGCTTGGAATACAAGGTGCTCTTTGAGTTATAAGCCTTGATCCCAGCAGGGTTCTCCAGAGCAGTGGTCGCCAACCTTTCGGACCTCATGGACCACTGGTTGGCAACCATTGCTCCAGAGAGTTTCTGAAATAGCAGGAAACCCAGTTGTGTAGTCTGGCCTTTGGGAAGGAAGCCCCTCAGAACGAGCTATGTTTGGAGCTTGTTGCCCAAGCTTTTACTGATTAACTACTGGATAGGTAGTGGGCAGAGCCTCACAACCTGGCTTCTTCATTTCCTGAGCATCTTCAGGTGGAAAGTGAGGCCAGATGCCAAGCTCTGGGTCATGGGGAGGGTGGGAACAGTCCCAGGTGTTCAGACTGGGCCTACCCCTTCCATGGGTTTCACAAAAGGTCATTCATCCATTTGGGGCAGGTAGGGGACCTGCAATGGAGCAGACCCAGCTCTCACATCCAAAGCCTGGGCTGCCACCTGCTTCTAGGCTCTGGACCCTCTCCAGGCATGTCCCTCCATGACAATGTACCAAGGGATACCCCTGGCCTGCAGCCTGTCCCAGTGACACAGGTGACCAGCCAGGCAGTGAGAGCAATATGGCTTTGCTTTAATGCTGATGTCCTTTTTCCTCAGAACTCAGCCTCCTCCCAGGCTCCCTGTGGGCCCCAGCCACAAGCTCTCCAACAATTACTACTGTACCCGTGACGGCCGCAGGGAAGCCACACCACCTTCCATTGTCATGTCCTCACAGAAGGCGCTGGTGTCAGGCAAGCCAGCAGAAAGGTGAGGATGCCACACACTCCTACAGCCAGCCTGTTCTCTCGCTTCTGCTTTTCAAGGTCCCATTTACCTAGCATCAGCTGTGTTGGGAACCATGCGGCCAGGAGCTTTTCATCTGCAAACGCATTTAATCCCCACCTATCCCAGTGTAGGGGTTAGGGCCGAAGGCAGGGGTGGGTTTTCTGCAAATCAGATAAAGTTCCAGGGTCCTTTAGTTTCAGGTGTACAGTATAATGATTTGATATCTGTATATATTGCAAATGTTAGTGTTTGTCATTTTACGTAGTTACAAATTTTTTTTGTAATGAGAACTTTTAAAAAATATATATATTTTATTGATTTTTTTTTACAGAGAGGAAGGGAGAGGGAGAAGGAGAGGGATAGAGAGTTAGAAACATCGATCAGCTGCCTCCTGCACACCTCCTACTGGGGATGTGCCCGCAACCAAAGTACATGCCCTTGACCGGAATTGAACCTGGGACCTTTCAGTCTGTAGGCTGACGCTCTATCCACTGAGCCAAATCGGTTAGGGCTGTAATGAGAACTTTTAACATCTTCTCTCTTAGCAACTTTCAAATATACAATACAGTGTTATTAACTACTAGAGGCCTGGTGCACGAATTTGTGCATGGGTGGGGTCCCGCCAGCCCTGCCTCCAATCAGGGTGGGGGGATCGGGGGTGGGGCTGGCTGGTGGGAGGGGCCGTGGGTGGTTGGTTGGCCAGCTGGCCCCGCCCCCTAGTCCAACTCCCAGTGGAGGGGACAATTTGCATATTAGCCTTTTATTATCTAGGATAGTCACCATGTTGTACATTGCACCCCCAGGACTTACTTATTTTATAAATAGAAGTTTGTACCTTTTATTGTTTGTTTTTTAGATTCCACATATAAGTGAGGTCATATGGTACTTGTCTTTCTCTGTCTGACTTATTTCACTGAGCTTAATACCTTCTAGTCCATCCATGTTGTTGCAAATGGTAAGATATCATTCCTATTCCAGCTCAGCTTTGGCAGCCACTGAGAAGAAGGCGGTGACACCAGCTCCTCCCATACAGAAGTGGGAGCTGTCCCAGGACCAGCCTTATCTGTGATACTGCTCTGGGCCACCTGACTGTGCCCTCCTTGTCTTCCATTCTGGGAGAACGTGACCTGACTTATGACAAATATATTATATTGTGCTCTCTAGTATCACTTCCATTTTTACTTTTAAAAAAAAGTATATATATGTATGTGTGTGTATGTATGTATGTATGTATATATATATATATTGATTTCAGAGAAGAAAGGAAAGGGAGAGAGAGATAGAAACATCAATGATGATTGGCTGCCTCCTGCATGCCCCCTACTGGGACCAAGTGTACAAGTGTACAACCTGGGCATGTGCCCTGACCAGGAATTGAACCGTGACCTGTTTCATAGGTCAACACTCAATCACTGAGCCATGCCGGCTGGGCCATTTTTACTTTTAAGGTGACACTGGGTTTACTTGGATTTCGGGGTGAAGTTGGTGCCAAATCTCTTAACTCTGTCAGTGCTCCAGGGACAGAGAGGAATAGTAGTTCTTGGGCTCCAGGGTGACATGTCACAGACATGGATGACATGGTACAGGGGGCCCAGAGATATCCCATCCCTTCTCCAAGGGCCTGGCTCTATCCCTGAGAGTGGTGGGCTGGATTCCAGGGCCTGTGGGGGTTGGGGAGGCTCTGACTGAGAAGATAGCAGGGCCAAAGACATACTGCTCACTTAATCTCTCTCAAGAGCTTCCCAAGCCATTGCTCATGTGGACATTGGCTGGTACCCTCCCACTGTGGCCCCTGCCTTACTTTGACCACCTTGCAGCTCAGCAGGGAAGGCAGAGGACAGCAAGGTGGCTCACAGGTAAAGCTCACCCAGGACAGATGAGGAAAGGCCTCCCTGAGCCAGAAGCCTTTCTGCTCAGGGCATGGGGGTACAGGGGATGAGGCAGAGTCAGCCAAGGGGACTAAGGGGCTTGTGCCTGTGGAGGAATGAGCAGGAGAGTAAAAGCCAAGACAAAGTGGCCCCAGTCTGGCTGCAGGAGTGAGGGAGCAACACAGTGACCTCAAGTGGGGGAGTGGCATGGCTGCCCCATGAAAGAACCCTGCAGCCTTTCCAAAGCTTAAGATCAGCTGTGCGCCAGGGGAGTGGAAGTGGAGAGCAAGGCAGGAAGCAGGAAAGGGTCACAGTTCCAGGCAGGAGGTATAAGTGGCTCAGAGTGGGCATCTCAAATGCTAAAAGCTCATTAGAGGTAGGGAGCCCCACAGGCTGAAAAACCTGGGAAGACTTCCTGGAGGAGGTGGGGTTTTAGTTGGGGTAAATGATAAATCAGATTCAGGAAGGTCAGGAGGGAAAGGAAGGCTGAGCAGGGTATGTGGGAGCTACAAGGAGGGCAACCCTGGAGGGCTTCAGAAGACCCCAGGCAAGATGTGCCATTGAAGGTTTCAGAATACAGTGGGGCCTTGGCTTAGGAGTGTCCCGACTAACGAGTTTTTTGAGATACCAGCCGTCTCTGCCGATTTTTTGCATTGAGTTGACAGAGTAATTTGAGTTAACGAGCTCGTAAGGAGCTCGGTCTCAGAACAATTAAATTCGTAAGTCAAGGCCCCACTGTAGTTTTATGACCCAGACTTGAGATTTGGCAAGGGAGTAAAATAGGGAAGGTCTGACACCTGAGCTCTTTCTGTGTGCTAGGTACAGTTCTGAATGCTTCCTATCCATGATCTCAGCTCCTTTGATCCTGTGAGGTCACCACTGTTGTCAAGCCTCCAACAGCCTTTAAGGCCAGGCACTCCTACCCCCCCCCCGCCCCCCAGTCCTATTTGCTACTCAGTCCACCTGCTTCTGCACCCTTGCATCTTTGCTTCTTACCCATTTCCCCTGGGAGATTATTATCAGAAAGTATACTCCAAAAGCAGCTATAACCTCTGACATTTTCAAATAGTGAAGTGTGCCATCAACTGGCAAATAGAACCCTTTCTGTGAAAATCTGTATGCTATAGTTAGCTTCACAGGAAACAGGGTGGTCAATACTTGCATATCCGGCATAATGCTGAAGGACAGTGATTTGCTTGGATGAGGTCTTGCTGGCAGTGGAACTTGCTGCTTCTGAAGACAGAGCTGTAGGCGAAAATATTTTCTAGAAGAGAACACAGAAACCAGATTGGCTAGAAAGCTTGCAGAAGGCTTGTTATGTGCCTTCTGGGTGAGTGTGAGAAGTGAACACCCAAGGATTGCCTTCACAGATCTTGTTCCAGAAGTGAAGAATAATACTTCCCTATTGGGTACATGAGGACTAAATGAGACAGCGTGAGCGCACCCAGGTGCCAGGGACAGGATGTTTATGTTTATTTTTTTAAGGAATTATAAGTTTATTAGGTCATCTAGATAACCAGATGGGCTGAGCCCCCAAATGGCACCAGCCAGGATGTTTATATTTAAAAGCCCACTAGGTAGTAGGCACTGGGGACGCAAGAACAGCATTCCTGAGCTCCTAGGCCTGACATTTCAGTTGGGAATCAGACACTAAACCAAAATAAGTAAATATATAATGTGTCGGGTGCACGAAAGAAATACAGTAAAGAGGGTGTCAGGTGCACAAAAGATTAGAAGGCGAGGATGGGGCGTGGCTGAGGGGAGTGGTTGCCATATTAAATACGATAGGTAGTACATACACTGCGGCATAGAACGTTACATGTTGTAAGTAGACGTCAACAAGTTGGTTTCCATCCCTCCGTACCTTTCGCTGTACCTTATCACAGGGAAAAGTGCGAAAGAGCCAAATCGCGGGTCCCCTCGCATTCGGACATTTACGGTAGGCTTAGCGGCCAGACCTCTGTGCTCGGGCCCCGCCCCCGGCGGGTGCGCGCGTGCGCGGGAATCTGAGCTCCTCCAGAGCCAGACCGCGCGGGCCAGCGCTGGGCGTGGGTGGCGCAGTGAGCGGTTGGATGGCACTGGGAGGAGCGCAGCGGACCGCGGCTCTGGGCCTGACACTGCAGCTGCTGCTCGGCTTCGTGCTGGGCCTGGAGGCAGCCCCGACCCGGTCCCGGGTCCAGACCATAGGTGAGTGAGCTCCACGCTGCCCGTGCGCCCGCCTGGCCAGCAGCCTAGCTTCGTCCCTGCCGGCACCGCCTCGCCATTGGCTGCGCCGCACTCCGTCCGGACACTCCTCCTGCATGTGGCTCTTGACTCTTTAGCTGGGAAATTGTGCGAGTCCTCACCAATGAAGAGTTCACTGCCTGCCTTTCACTGCCGTGCGCTGGCCCTGCTCACACCCCGCACCTGCTCTGCTTTATCGTCACCCATTGTTACCTCCAAGCCGTCCGCCCTTCAGCCCTTCAGCCCAGCGCGGGCTCGCCGCAGGCCCTGGTTGTCCGACCTCTAACGCTGCGGGGTCGGTCACCTGGTACCTGGTACCTTCCGCAGCAGCAGCAGCGCCTTCCAAACCCTCCCGTCTGAGCTGAGGCCTTGTGGCTGTTTCTTCGGTGGCCATCCTCCCACCCAATCTCTGCACTTTTCTCCTCTAGCCTTAGAGAACGAAAGGTCTCCCTCCCTGTGACCCCCGGCCGATGTGATGTTGGCGGCTGTCTCAGGTTCCCAGCGGCAGCTGGGAGGGTTAGAGTGGCCTCCGTGTGTGCGAAGGTGCCCCTGACTTTCAGCTGTGAGCTCAAGTTCACACACGTGGGCTCCCCTCTGATCTGGCCCTCTACCTCAACCAAAGTCCCTGCCTTTTCAGGCTGAAGGTTCCTGTAAGGAAGGCAGGACTCATGTTAACCAAGTACCAAACCTTTACATACAAGCAGTCTCCTCAGGACACTGAGGTAGGGACTCCTAACTGCCCCATTTACAGGTAAGAAAACCACGGCTGGGAGGAGTCACTGGTCTGGTCCCCCAACCTAATGAGGTGGGTCCACTCTGCTCTGCTGCCCACTTTACATAGGGACACACACTCCGGCAGGTCAGGGAGAGATGTTGCTTGTCCAGACCAAGACTGGCTAGGCCCGGGAGGAAGCTGAGCCTGGATGCGGACAGTCCACCCTGGGCAGGGAAGGAAGCCAGCTCCAGGTTGTCTACAGCTCTCCCCGCCTCCACCGAGTCCAAGGACTGTGTGGCCTACAGCTGCAGTCGGGCCTGGAGGTCTGCAGAGGAGCCAGCTGTGGAGAGTGGGGTGTTTGGAGGCTCAGGCCCCTGTGAGTGAAAGTGCAAGGGGCAAGTGGACCAGCATCAAATGGGGCTAGGCTGGGGCCAAGCCAGGTATTTGCCACCCATCTTGCTACATCTAGGAGGAAGCCCTAAAACTCACTCTCTTGCTCTGTCCCTCAAACTCAGGTTCCAGTTCCTTTTGTGCTCCTCCCGATCAGCATACAGCCCAGCCCTTGCTGTCAGGGGTCCAGGAAGGCTCAGATCTCACCGGAGTGTGACCTGTGTTCACGTATTGTCAGGCACCCCCTGGGCTTTCGGTCACACGGCCATGGTCCTGGCACACTGAGTGTCCAGTCTAGTCCCTATCAGTTTAAAGAGGGTTGTTGTAAGTGGGAAGCAGAACCTCAGGAGTCTCTGAGAGGGACAGGAGACCCCTCCCAGGAAATAGAGTGAGATCTGAGGCCGAGGAGGCAATCTCCAGGTACAGAGTGGAGGGAGGAAAGGGTATACTGGGCCAAGAAACAGCACAGACAAGGCACTGAGGTGGAACAAGCCAGGCTTCTTGGTGAAGCAGTGAGGAGGCCACGACAGAGGGAGCTTTGTGAAGAGGAAAATGTGGGAGGAAGCGAGGTTCCAGGAAGGGTTCAGGGCTGAGCTAGGCCTTGTGGGTCACAGGGAGGAGGTAGGATTTGTTTGTGAGAGGCTTGGTGGGCCAGGAGACGGCTTTGAGCAGAGGACAGGTGAAGTGGGTTACCAAATGATGGGACTCTGAGGGGTCTCCAGTGTCCAAATGGAGATGAGGTTGGGGGCCTGGCGAGGTAGCACATTCAGGATAGGAACGTGGTCAGATCTGGAGGAATTTAGGAGCTAAGATGACAGAGCTTGGTGACTAAGCTGATCTTTTACCCCTTTCTTAAGTAGGTGGGATGTCATGGGCCCTGCTGACCCTGACCATGGGCCTGATCCAGGGCAGGTTCAGAGATGGCGCCTCCCCAAGTCTGTTTAACCATGTGGTTTGGAGAGAGTCCT